TCAGAAAGAGACAGAGAGAGAGAGAAGAGGGGAGGAGTAGATCTTGCGAGAACTTCCGGGCGGGTGAGAATAGCCACTTTCTTCTTACTCGCTTACCAGGTGAAGAAAAGGGGCTGATAAGGCTTGAGGACCCTGAAGTGCTACTTTGACTTAGGGCCTCTTTTGAGTCCTTGCTTTTAGGAGTTGCCATAGTGTACCAATTCGATGAGACAAAATCATGGAAACAATACTCGCTTGTGCGACTTTCAACTTTCGTTTCTTCTACAGGGGTTTCCGCTTTCATTTTCATTTCACCTTTCATACTTCCTGTAGATAGTTATAAAACTGACATCACGAAATCCATGTTCATAGGCAACGGAATAACTAAAAACACAACTAATTAAACCCTGTTCAACTTACTGATATAAGTTTCAAAAAAATATCTAGCTGTACACAAATACATCAAATCATTTTCTGCTGTTGAAATTGTACAAACTGAGTGAAGATTTGGCAGAGAATCACAAGACTTCTCTTTGCTACCAGTAGCACTCTTTTATACATTGGGGCAAAATATTTTATCAGCTGTATCCTGACTCTGATACAGAAGAGCTTCACATTGATTTGTGTATCCTTGACAACCCGATGGAGTTTTGTGATCGGTTCTTTCCGGAGTGTGTATTGTTCTGCGCTCAACAACATGAGAGGATTTTTGGCCGGCCAGTGGTCACTTGTAGCTTCGATCTAGCAGGTTGTATTTCGTGACATGCCGGAGGCATTCTGCTTCTACTTCATATTTTAGACGTGTTTTCTAAAAGCACACTTTCCTCTGCTTCTCATATGTGCGGGGTTAGTTGCTGGACAGGACTAATCGACGGAGTACCCGTGCCAAACTAAGTTCAAGTTGACGCTGTAAAGTTATAGGTGATTGGTTTTGCTGCAAGATCTATATCTAGATCTACTGGCGGTCGTTTCCTATTTGCAAGCTTCAAAATAGCTGTTCAACCAACAGTGACAAGGCAATAGCGTAAGGGAAACAAAGCCGACAAAGGAGTAGGCCTGCCCTCGTCTTTGGGCATTTAGGGTGGTCTGTTTCTGGTTTCCATTTCATACAGGGCCAGGCGTTCAAATTGATTCTTGAAAGTTTTGAGGAATGACTGAGTAGCCTAGTTCTCGTACCAATCGCGTGTTCAGTCAGATTACTTTGCTTTGAAGTCAGGTGGTACCAAGTCCAAGGCAAATTCGGGCTTGATTTCCAGCATGACCATTTCGTGAAGTATTCTTTTCTTTACAGCAGGGAAATGGTCTCGCTATTGAATTGTGATACCCTGCACTTTTCTGAAATGGATTAAACAACAAATTGATGGTTAGTAAATGATCCATTCACCGCTGCCTGGATGAACCTCCTGTTGCAAAGTAAGTTCATGTACCTCATAGGCCTGTTTATTTTTTCTGTTCACTTTTCATCCCATTTACTCTGACACTGAAGATCTCTAGACTTGCGTTTAGTGAAATGTGAATTGAAGGAAAAATCATGTTTCAAACATGAAAAAGTTAGTTATATATAATATTAGTGAGAATAATTGACAGAATGTAGAGCTACAGTAGTCTTGTATTTGTAGAAAACAAATTTGTTACTTTGAGGACTAAGAGTCGAAGGAATTTGATGGTGAAAAGATACAAGTACTTGAGTGAAAGTTACAACAACGTTATTTTACGACAGAAGTCAAATTTTTTAAAGATAAGGCTTTGCATCAATTGTCAACTGTCGTTTGTTCTTATCTAAACTGATATTGTACTTCAAAGAGAATTGTTCTGTTCAGATAAAGAAACAATGTGAACTCTGTAGGCCCTAGGGCCTATGTTATGATGTAGCAAAGAGGAGGCTACATTTGTTGAACTGTTGCAGAAAATTAAAGTGTTGAATACATTACTCACTATTACATAGTTTTCTTTTTCCACCGCTTGAATTAAATCACGGGAAAAAATGTAGCACTGTTATTGGAGGTTTAATTTTTAAAAAGATAAAAGGCCTAATTTCTCTTTTATAAGTCTGCTGGTGTTTTGAGTGCCCAACTCCTGATGTAGACAGGCAAAGCTTATTTTCATTCTTGTCCAAGCTATAACATGATTGAAGTAAATGTGAAACATTACTATAAGGAAATTTAATTTAATTTTAAACAATAATAAAGCTTTCTGTTAAATCATAGCTTATTAACAGAATACCAGATTAGGAAGGTATATGTTATGGTCCTCTTTGTATGTACAAAAAAAGCCCTCAGCACTGTAACATTTGCCAAGAATTGTACACACCTCATCTTACACACACAACACGCACACACACACACACACGCACACACACACACACACACACGCACACACACACACACACACACACACACACACACACACA